TTTACTAACTAACTAACTAACTAAACTAACTAACTAACTAACAACCATCATGTAGAGCTCATATAAATATGTATTAATCATTATGTAATAAACCTGTATGTATTTTCTGCTAAGTAACTAATTTCTCGAATTACTTGCTAACGGTGTCGAATTACTTGCCCAACAAGGAATCGAACCCAAAGTCTCTGGTAACTAACTAACCAATTAACTAATTTACTAACTAATTTACAGTGTCGAATTACTTGCTGAACAAGGAATCGAACCCAAAGTCTCTGGTAACTAAGTAACCAATTAACTAATTTACTAACTAATTTACAGTCTCGAATTACTTGCTGAACAAGGAATCGAACCCAAAGTCTCTGGTAACTAACTAACTAATTTACTAACTAATTTACTAACTAACTAACTAACTAACGGTGTCGAATTACTTGCCCAACAAGGAATCGAACCCAAAGTCTCTGGTAACTAAGTAACCAATTAACTAATTTACTAACTAATTTACGGTGTCGAATTACTTGCTCAACAAGGAATGTCTCATTGAGCTTCACATACGACGAGCTCTTTGTACTCCCAGTAAACTATTTTAGCCCCTTCAGTAAAGGTCCCTTTTTTCTATTAAACTATTAACAAAAACGGATATTAGATGAGTGTTTTTATACTCCCTTTACACTGAAAGTTCAGTCTGTTGAATATATAAAAAGCATAAATTGCGTCTATATTGACTATTGTGCTATTTTTGGGACCCAAAATACAATGTCGCGTGCCCTTCCATATTCTGAATGCATTTTTGCACTAAAGACTGCAGTGGCGTGCTGTAGGATTACGCGCCACAATGACTTGAACGATTAACTTAACATCGTTGCTACGTACTGATTTGTACAATCGTTCTTTTCTTCAGTCACGCGTGTGCATAAACTATAATTTCGTTAACAGTAAACATTTGTAAACATGCGTTTTCTGACATATATCTGTCTATTATCAGGCGATACACCAGCCTGTGTTAGAGTAGTGGACTGGAACTATTAGTATACGAAAGGCTTGCTGGGAATCGTTAAAAAATTCATTAATTTTTTAGTGATTCTCAGCAAATCTTTCGCACTCGTATTCGACTTTTCCGCTTTGCTCGGAGACAACCTTAATTGAAATAGATGTATACAAGTACTTGCGGTTAATTTAAAGCTCGACAACTGCATGAACTCTATACCGAGCTCTAACCAACTGAGCTACAGAAATCGCAAGGCCGCAAGTTCGATTCCTAGCTCCTGGTTAGGTCTAAAGAATGTATAAAAACTCGAATTTTTACAATCGAAATTTCCATGTACAAATTTCCATGTACAGAACCCTTCGATAACCATTAGCATGGTCAGTGGTGTCAAGTAACAAAGTAAATGTACTTCGTTACTGTACTTGAGTACTATTTTTGAGAAGTGAACATGTAACAAAGTAAACTTTTTCTGCAGTACTTTTACTTGGAACGAAGTCATTTTAAGAAGTAACGTTTTACTTCGTTATTTTCATTTTGTGACGAAGTATTTCCTTACTTTCTAACTTTTGTTTAATTTTACGTGATTTATTTCTGGTTTATTTTAATTTCGGGAAAGGTAATCCGACCTCTACATGCGTCTGGGATCTGTCGTTTATCACTTACTTATAAAAAATATTTAATGGATTTCTTATATCTTCAACGGGGTATGGAAAGTAGACCATGCTGTGAAATATTGTATATTCGGTGCACGCATGTAATGCGTGTGTTGTTTTGTGTCTTTTGTATGTTAATCCATTGGAGAAGTTCCCCTCCCCCTCTACACGCTACAGACAATAGTATTTTTACTTTTAATTTGTACTTCAAGTATTTTTTAAGGATACTTTGTACTTTGTACTTAAGTACGTTTTGCTTCCAGTACTTTTTACTCTTACTCAAGTCGTTTTATTGTTTATTACTTTTACTTTTACTCGAGTACAAATTCAAAGTAATTTAGGCACCACTGAGCATGGTATATATACATGTACCTAATGTAATCAGTTGCCATCAGTGGAGAGAGCTAAATAGTATCTGTTTCTCAATGTTATATATATTCGAGATTAATTACTCATCGCCTTGTGATGTTTATTTAAGCATTTCAGATATACGCACCAAAGCTGGGACACTGTGTTCGAAATGTTGGAGGTCTTGCAGTGTACCTGCTCGAATGCAAGTCCACAGACCCCCTAGATCGTTGGATATGGACAGACCATGAACAATTATCGCATTTAAGAATGGGTAGCTGTCTTAGTCGCAAGGTCGATGGTACTGTTCAATTGCAATTTTGTGACTCTCGTGTTAAGTCCCAAAAATGGTATTGTGATAAAGATAAACTTGTATCAAGATATGATAACAGTGTTTTGCATCTGCGTTCTGACCAAGCTGTTGCCTTGACCACAATTCAAAGCAGTACCGAAAATGACACAGTCAGGCTATATTCTAACAAGAAATCAGTATGCAGTGAAAAAGGTAATTTTTAACGCCCATCATCACAAACTTTTTCTGTTGTTAGGAACAATTTTGACCCTAAAATGTTTTGGAACCTAGCTTATACATATTTATTGCATTTTTGACGATTATGTTATACGTATTTCTTGTAGTTGTTACTATTATCTTACATATTTTTTGTATTTTCGACTATTAAATTTATTTCCCCCATCTTTTTGTCCGTTTACAATTTGCCCAACTTCAATTTTGCTCTCATTCTTTAATATTAGGTGGCTCACCTCTTGTTTTGAGGCAGATGCTTTGGAATAAGCATAAGTCTTTCTTTGTTTGTGATTTAAATTCAAGAAGGTATAATGAAACTTGGCCTATTCATATTTTTTGCTAAAGAAGTTAGAAACTAAATTCCTTTAATTCTTGAAATTTTGGAGTATTCTTTATTTTAGCGAGGAAACAGTAAATCATTGTATGTATACAAAAGATGACGGAAACACGTGGCAAGGTATGCTCTATTTAACAAATAGATAAGATTTTGCGGTTGTCTGTTCAGTTATATGGATACACAGTATGACGTCATAATGTGTGGCTATAACTGAACAGATAACGGCAAAATCTTATCTATTTGTTTTATATAATAAAAAGAAAAACCTCAAATTAAACAGGTAAATAGCTTACTTTTTAACCACCCAAACATTTGGAAATTTGAAAAAGTCGAAATTTTACAAATATCACGCGTACATGATCTATACAAATAAGAGAATGCTATTGGCTACCTTAATTGTGACGTAATTCCGTGCGTCTGTCCTCTAATAGATCATGGCTCTCGACCAATGAATTCTTGAATTATTAACGTTACTATTATATATGAATACTTTTAATCTTTAAATTATATGGATGGATGATCCGTCTGATCTGGCTTAGGAAAAAAACTTGAAATAAATAAATCGTTCCTCTGACAATCCACAGAAACAAACGGAAAGGGATCATAATTGTTCATTCATCCGTCAATAATCTGTGTAGTACTTCTGCACAGAGGAACTTGCGTCGTCTTTGGTCTCCTGAAAGAATCTTTAAAAGCAAGGCAGTCATGGTTTGTTCTTTTTCCATGCGGTATAGTTCGTGCTATGCTAAATTTCATCAATTAATTAGTATAACCCATGAAATCATAGTTTATTATTTATAAATTTGAGTCTGTTTTTGTAATACAACATCTGTAGTTTCACAGCTTTCCATACAAGGTCGAGGTATCGCTTTCCGGTGGACATAACTATACACGCTTCAAACAACCCGATCCTGGTGTATTAAATTGATATTATAATTTCTTCTTTTTGTGACAGATTTGAACGTTCAAGTGTTTAATCTTCTGGGAATTTCGCAACACCTGGTCAAACTTTATGGTGTAACATTTGGTCAAAAGAATGCTTTAAAATGTTATCATTACGGCTATTCTATTTGTCACAATATTTTGAAATCAGAATGGGAGAAAATCAAGAGAAATGATACACTTATGGAGCTTCCTGTTAATATCCCATTTATTCCATTTGGAGAAACTCCAGACTCGGAAATACCTACAGAGGAAATGACTTTGCGTTCTTCTAGTGGAATGCCAGAATGGGGAGGTAGATATACTACAAATTTAATTACTGTAATTTTTCTAGTTACCTCGTCCTCCCTCCACACCCAAGCTATAATTTCAGGCATTTTAGGGGGCTATTGGAGGGTGGGGAGGGGAGGGGAGGGGAGGGGAGTTACTAACGTGAACATAAATAGGCTTAAGTAGGACGGCAACGCAACGACAACGGCAGAATAAAATCATTCAAATAAACGCTTGTAAAGAACGTTTGTAGACTATTGTTGATCGTATCAATTTATGTCGAAACGTTTATCCAAGACGTAAAAGTCTGTAGTTTCCCGTTGTAAACCGTGTATGACATCTCAAATTCCCGTGGGATATTTATTATTCATTTATTTTCTTAAATATTATGAATCTCAATGTATGAATAGCCGTCGTCTTCACGTTGCCGTTTCACATCGTGAGGACGTATACTGCAGTATATACACAAAAGTTACATCAAAATAGTGACAATTCTTTTGAGCTTTAATTTATATTGGGCGACGGTGGCAACTCTTTAGGGACGAGGTATTTTAAACTATACAGATCTACTGCTCATGTTTTATTACAAATTACCTCTTGGTAAACCATATAATATGGTATATATGTAAAATATATAATATGGTTTCATAAAAAGTAAAAAGCCCAAATTGGACGTTGTTTGATTATAATGATTGAAAACCAGGCACTAACTAAATCATGTATAATATGATAGTGTTTAAATATATGATTATGAAATCTATAAAGCCTACGTGTAACATTGCATTTCGTCAGATTAAAGCAGGAACTTGACATTTTGACATTTTATAGCGTCATCAGCTGGTATTCATAGATATGTGACCGGGAGATGGAATCTGGTGTTATCCTGGAGTAAACTTGGAACACGTTATGGTAAGGTTCGCGAATTAAAGTATTACTGCAACATTTTTTGTCAGTTAATCCAATTTGTGTGGTGATTTGTTGCCCCATAAAACAGCCGCTGCAAAATTGTCTTTCGAAGTATTCGTTCATGTTGTTGTTTTTTAAATCAACCAAATGGAAGCACGTATATCTTCTTCTCCCGCTGAAAACCCGAGCAGTTTTCGCGCATGCTCAGACAATATTACTACCTGTTTATTGGACGCAGATTGGACGTCAGTTCCAGTCCCTTTCTATTGTTTTTGTCCGCGCGGTTAACACGAAACTGGCTTCACTTCACTCGGCTCCAGTTCTATATGGAGCTCACTGCTCACAACATGATATGCTCTCGTCCAATAAGATACAAGAAAACATACATGACACGGTAAATAATAATTACAAATAGTGGACAATTTCATATGAGTCACGATTTAGGAACAGTTACTAATTTTAGACTTTTAGGTTTAAGATTAGGGTTTGGGTTAGAGAAAGAGTTAGGATTTGGGCTAGGTTTAAGATTAGGGTTAGGGTTAGGATTAGAGTAAGGGTTATGGTTAGGTTTGGGATAGGGTTAAGTTCAAAACAAAAAGGAATACAAAATTACAATTTAGTCTCAAAATAGTAACTCTTCCTAAAACTTGACATTACAGGTATCAACAATTTAGTCATCTTGATAACTGTCACTCATTTCAATGATGTCTGTAATGGACTTTATATTTCTTAATACCAACCTTTTTACATTACATTAAAACATTCATTAATAATTCACGAGGAAAATACAAAAGAAATTAATGTTTAAATTAATCAATGTTTGTAAATCGGATAAAGACAAATCCTGATTTACATAAACTTCAGCTTTGATTTTCTCGGCTTAGACAATGTGTATTTTTAAAATTACTTCGCCAATGAACTCATAAGATGGGTCATTTTTTTAAGTACGATAAAAGATTCGCATCCGATCTGTATCTGACATACAAACTTTCGCCTTCGGCTCGAGTTTGTATATCAGATACAGATCGGCTGCTCATGTTTTATCTAGTACTTATAAAACAATTTAGTGTTCGCTATTTCGACAAGAGACCACTCCCTTCACTCCCTGTTAACTTGTACAATGTTTAGCATCATATTACTTATTTAATTATTCTAACAAACTTCATAACAAAATCCACCTTGCCTTGCCCACTACCATTTGCGAAACCCACATGCATAAATTGCTATAAGCTTATTATATTCGAGGGAGAAAGAATTGACCAACGTGTCGTCATATAGATGTGTTTATATACAGGTACAGGCTTATATTTCTAAATATATGATATATGTATATTTTAGCACGCCCAGGATCGTGTAAACAAATATTGGCATTTGGTCAATCATCTGGTGATGGTATTTACACAATTTACCCTGCACATCCATTGCTTGGTATTCAAGCGTACTGTGACATGACTCGAGATGGTGGCAGTTGGACACTTCTTGTGACAGCTAAAACACCTTATTGGGATATCTCGCAGGTTGGGATGCTGTTATTGTTTGTTGTTGTCGTTGTTGTAATTGCTATTGCTTATTTATACAGACTATTGGGCGGAGGTATAGTATATGACTGATCTTTTCTTGCTGCTTCATAGTTAGTGTCTGGTGAATGGTGATCGTTTTGTTTTTCTTGTACAAGCTGAATTTCAAACGACACGTCAACCCATAATATGCAAACAGTTCGGGTGTTTAAGCCTGGGAAGCGATGTTAGTCTATTGTTAGTCTGACATGTATACTTGTTGGTCTACAAGTCAGTCATTTGCTGGTAGTTATAAATGAAAACTGTAAAGTTGCCAATTGATGAGTCAGACAGATTGCAAACAAAGTAACATAAGAGGTAGAAATTTTTATTAACTAAACATCAACTGATACAGCAGCTCCTACACGAACCAGTTCTTACACTTCCTATATTCTTACCAATAATTAGACAGAGTATCAATACTCGACTTTGTTAACTTCTCATAGGTATCATACATAGCGCATTGAAAACACGCTCCCAAGAACAATACGTCGTATAAGCATTAGCGAACGTGTATTGTAACTTGTAATTATAAGTTCTATTATCCGAAGTGGCGAAGTGGCGAAGTTTTAGTCCAGCAATCTTTTGGTTGCGAGTCAAAGTTCCGTGTAAGACTCGAATTATTTCCTGAGATTTATCAGCATGTACAAATAAAACGAACATATTACTTTATCACAGGTTTTTGAAAACACACCCAAAGAACCATCCACATCCAAAGATCACTCTATACTTAAACATGCTGACGACATCAAAACTCAAAGTGGGGAAGAATGTTTCGAATATCGTTTGGAAGCTAAGGAGTTTGGTCAATATGGAGGAATATGGCGTGCACCAAAATCGTACACTTTTCTGGCTCGGAATAACTCCCAAACCGATGTGCAACTTGTGAAGAAATTTGGTAACTGGGAGTACAATTTTACAACTATTGAGAAACGTATGCCTTGGATTTGTCAGGAGGATTACTGCGGTGGTATCCTTACTTCGTCAGCGCATAATCCGTATTATTACGGATCAATTTTATCTGGTCATTCCTACAAAGGTTTGCCATATGGTTTGCCCGCTCCTTGGATGAGAGAAGAACAAGCTAGTCCAGGAATTATTTGGTATTGGATGAGAGAAGGTTGGTTAGAATTGTAATTAAGCATGTCAATGTCATATTGACTATAAAGCCCCACCAAACTCTGAAACATTAGCTGAATTCATATTAGAAGACGGATTTCTGTCTTAGACGGGAAACTCGTGTGACGGATTTCCGTCTGGTATGAAACGAAAACCATCGGACGGATAAACGCGAAAAAATAGGAGACCCTCCATCCCAGTCTCTTTTCAACGTTGCGAGCTGAAACCCGTCTTGATTTATTCGTCTGATATAAATTTAAGACGAGTTTCCCGTCTAGGACGAGAAACTCGTCTAACTTTCCCGTCGTTCAAACGGGAAAGTTGGACGGAAAAGTTGACACCGAAAACCCGTCGTAAATCGAATTTATATCTGGACGAGTTTCTAGTCTTAGATGAGTTTTCCATCTCAGACGGAAATCGTCTTCTAATATGAATTCAGCTATTATTGCATGTAGAAACATTTGAAAATTCCCATATTTCTTCGGATAGTTCCAATTTGAAAGTTGTCGTTTCCTGGAACGTTTACCGTTTGCCTACCCTATTAGAAAATAGTTCATGCCGTTTTCTGGATGCCTATAAACCCTTGGAAAAATTGTCGCGGAAACAAACTTTGCTTCTACACGAGGAAAAAGTACCCCATAAAATTAGAAACATATTTTGTTTTATATATCTCATATATAGTTTACAACTGTTATATTTGTTGCGCCGAGAAGTAATGTTTCCTAATCGATATGAAAATCTTTTATGTAAATTCTAACACTGCAATGTGGACAATGGAAAATTCTTTGTCTCCATCTTGGTTGCGGAAAAAAAATATCCATCCGAACTGGCATGAACGCACTGACTTAATACTAGTGATTAAGTTATAGGTCATTGGATAAACGTCTTGGGACGAGTCAATTTAAGTTGCTTTAAGTACTATTTAAAAAACGAGCAGGAGTGTTTTATTAGGTTTAAAGCCACGACCTAATAAAACACGACCTGCGAGTTTTTTAAATGGCTTCAAAAACGTTTGCATAATAAGTCAAATCTGAATATTAATTGTAAACAATAGATACGTTCAGGTAATAGATTTCAGATATGAAAAATCTTTATATAAAAATCTTTATATAAAAATCTTTATGTAAAAATCTTTATGTAAAAATCTTTATATAGTTTGCATAACAATCGTCTTTTGTATTATTGCATAATAAAGTGTTCTTTAGCTGGTATAAAGACGTATGCACGTGACTAATTTCTTACTCAAGATTGGATTATTGCTTCATGAATTATTAATGATTTTTGAAGGTGATTCATCAGTTTTGCATTGCGCACTTTTACTGCGCACATCTAATAACAAATTCTAGCTAATATATGTAGTCGAACTGCAATGTCAAGTGACACAGAAAGAGTATAAGGACAAAGAGAAAAACACTCTGCATTGATTAGGCGTGCTTCTAGAAATATATACTTTCAAAAATGACAGAACTCTGGCGTAGGGCTCCCTGTGCAACTAACACCAAACCACATCATGTTGCATGTTTAACCCTTCTACCTTTTTAAGAAGCTAGGTCCGTGACCCTACTTTTTATTATATATTTTTGTCTTTTTATATCAGAAAATAAGAGAAAAATCATTTCTACAACTTATAATATTTTACATTTTTCGCTCAGTTCCAAAAATAAGATTTCTGAGAAGATGAGAAAAGACATCTTTGCACCACGACAATGCACGTTAATTATAGTTTTTTGATTCGCTAAAATACCATGTTTTCTTCTATATAATCACTAGATGGTAGACATTTTTAGTAGGATCCTTGTTAAAAAAATCCAATAACGGTTGAGCAATTGCGATTGTTCCTATAACTCGTAAAAGGGTCAAGATGGGGCCATATGGAAGGGGGGGGGGGGGATATTGCACTTGTCATGTCTTCGAAATTAACTTTTTTATGCTTCTACTATGAGCATATCATAAACTCCACCCCTGGGAAGTTTCAGCAAATTCTCATTTCCAGAACAATTACTAATGAATCACTTTAATAATTAATTAAAGAGATTCGGTACAATAATTTGATTCACTCAGATATTCTACGATGGCTTACACTTGAGAGCATTGGATCTCTTCGTTGGCTGGTGTTTATGGGATTTTCGATTATTAAATGTCGCCTATTTTTAGGTGGATGCTGACTGAAAAGACACTGATGTGGTTTCAGAGAAATGGTTTAAATTTACACTGGAAATGTCTTCTTTGTCGAAATGTTCTTAAAAGGACGGCCATTTTAGAACTCGAACAAACGTTATTTAATTTATTTCAGGAAACTCTAGTTGTTCTATATATGCATGCACGCATGTTGATCACACATTTTGAATAATATTAAAAGCTAGGTAACTTTCTGCTTTGTAAATATTTTAATGGCTTGCTGCATGTACTAAATTTCTATGTATTTCAGGGCTTGATAATGTTAGGGGCTGGCTCTCTTTCTACCTCGTTCGTTAAGCCCTTTCACTAATTCTTTCATTGTGATTCTATGCTGTCTGGTTGAGTCAGGATCGATTATTATTTATTAATTGGCTGATCAGCGCAAAATTTAAAAAATATTCTTTTTTTTTTTTTGGGGGGGGGGGGCAAACGGCCCCCTTTATAAAATATTGGGGGCGCCCTCCCCGACCCTCCTGCTTACCACGCCCCTGATGTATTTCATGCACCCTTTTCTATTTAATTGCACCGTATTTAATGCACGATAGAACTAGAGATTGTACCTTTTATGTTAGCAAACATTTCAATAAAATTTTATCACATGCATGTTAAATCGTTAGTCTATATTCAATAGTTTGTTACTCGATCAAAGACACTTAAAAATAAACAAGTGGATTATGTAATAGCGAGGGTAATGTGATGTCTTTATGTAATTGAGCTGACTTTTTCAATTCACATGGGAATACTATAACAGAAGAGTATAGACCGCAAAGGCCCATGGGAATGCTTTATTGTACGCTGTATTGCCGCTGTATTGTACTCCCATCATTCAACGTGGGACGAGCCCTGTATTATACTATCTTGTTTCTATAACCTCCTATCAATGCCAGTGGTGATGATCGGAAGTAATAGAACAGGAAAATTGGGTAACTAGAAATTTATGGGGGCTAGCTAGGCAATTCGATAGAAATCAGTACGCAGCTGTTTAGGCCTCTTTTCTATTAAGCCTCCTTCCCTATTCACAACGAGACACATGTAGACTCATTAGACTTATTAATTGTCATTGTTATTGCTACTCCGCGAACTCCCTCCCCTTAACCGCGCGCCTGAAATAATGGCCAGACTGCATTATTTTGTTATTCGGTAAATTCTCGGTTTTAAGGGATATATATCGGTAGCGGGCGCCATGCAAGAACTTTATTGTATGGTCATTAAGCTAATATTGGATTGAGTATATCATTCATATTGCAATAAAAAGAAAGCTTAATATACATTTATCTTGTCATGCAAATCAATCGTTCAATATTTCAATTGTTGGAACGAAAAGACTTTCTATTTTTCTATAACAGGTTTGTAATTAAGCTTCTTCAATATATGAAAAAGTATTACTCAGTCTAATTTATTATAATAGGGAATTGAACAAGTATAAATAAGTAAATTATATTTTCCGATGACAGTATAATGCTTTCTGCAATGTTAGTCATTTCCTGAAGTCCAATATATTTGAATGAAATGCATTTTTGTAGATTAATAAAACATTTATGATATTATCACTTCTCTATTTAAATGGTAATTGTATATCATATGACTTCTTGTCATTGTGAGTCATTGTTATCGATCATTTTGAGCAGAGCTAACACCTGAGTATCAGTGGATCAAGCGGTCTACTGATTCAAGGAGAAAAAAAGAAACGAAAATGAGAAATTTAATTTGTAGTTATTTTCTGTCATGTACCATGTTACTAACATTGCAAGCAGACTTGGTGCATATGAAAGGTATGTATAAAGATTATATCTAGATGAGAAATCATCACATAACAACTTACACAACCTGTCAAATTAGAACAGAATTGTTCCGTAAACAGGGAAAGCGGCCCACTAGCAATGCCCAAAAATGGACAAACTGATATAAGATAAAGATTGCTTATACCGACGGTACGGTGGCCGTGAGATTACAGTTAGTGAAATTATTTTTCAACGAAATAATAATATGTAAAATAATAATATGTAAAATAGCAATAGAGAAAGTGTGTGCAGCTGTTTTTGAGCCAAACACATTACGGTTTGTGACTGGAAGTACAGCCAGTGCTCTACATTCCACCTAAGACATTCTTTAAAATTTCAAACTGATACTACCAGTTAAGGCGGGTCTCCACTAGACGATTTTTATGACGATTGTCATAGAATTCGCGACGAGATCGATTTAGAGAGAAGTGGAGATGTACTGGCAGCAAGAAAAAAAGCGCAGAATCTTATTGGTTAAAAATTTGGCGATCGTCTGCCGCTCGACGAAAAATAGAAGTCAATCCTATACTTTTCGTCGAGCGCTAGCCGCTTTCCTCTTGCGCATGTGTCGTCGCGAACTATTTTGACGATCGTCTCAAAAATCGTCTAGTGGACATCTGCCTTTATACTCCAGACGTTTTTTCCCTTTCTCTTGAAATAATTGCTTTTAATTTGCATGATTTGTACACTGTAATGAGGTCGTATGGGGCAGATTTTATCGCTATAAAGCCAGGCGCACACAAATTGAGTAAGATCTATGACACAGGCTAGGCGCACACGAGAGCAATCTATTAGAAAAATCTTATTAAACAAGCTAGGAGTTCCGATCCTCGAAAAAAGAAGAATGCAACAACTTTCAATTCTCATGTATAAGGTGAAAAACAGATTGGTCCCCGTTTATTTGTGTGATATGTTCACAAATGCATGTGGGTGATGTACACATCACACGAAAAAAGACTTCCCTCGTGCATGTCTACCACATGAATTCAAAGGAACTCTTGCGTGTGGATAAAGAGAAAGACCTTGGTGTTTGCGTCAGTGCCAACTTCAATTGGAATGTTCACATCCACACAATCACGGGTAAGGCTAACAAGATGCTCGGGCTACTTAAACGAACTTGCCCTCTTTTGAGAGACAAAACAGTACGACGAACGCTGTATCTCTCGCTTGTTAGATCTCAGCTATGTTACGCTAGTGAAGTCTGGTCTCCACACACTGTCAAACTCAAGTCCAGAGTCGAAAGCGTCCAAAGAAGAGCCACCCCGTGGATACTACAATCCAAGCATGGCGAAATGACATACCAACAACGGTTAATGAATCTCAACCTACTCCCGCTCTGCTATGAAAGAGAGATTTCTGATCTGGTATTCTTCTTCAAGGCTCTCTTTGGCAACACAGATTTAGACGTCAACACCTTTGTCTCCTTTTCCAACAACAATCGGACCCGACTCTGTTAAAATATGGAACTATACCTGTAAAATTCTACCTCCTACCACCTTCGCCACCCTCTCCTCGTTTAAAAGAAACATTAGAAGCACATATGAACACTTGCTCGGAACAATGTTCGACATAGAAATGCCATGTACATGGTCATTAGTGCGTGACTGTCCATGTCATAGAACTTAGTAAATAACTGTGTTTCATGTTTGTGCTGTTTTGTATTGTATTTTGTACTATTTTATTGTTTTGTATAGTTTTAGAATGGTAAGCACCTTGCATGGGACTTTATGTTTCGTTCGTGCTTGATATTGTCCATTTGAGTATTCTACTTATTTCTACATAGAACTGTTGTGTTTAAAACGTTGTAGAATTCTCAATAAAATTGTTAAATTACACGACACCATACCTTTAGAACTCTGTAAATCTCCTTCTAAAGTGCAGGAAATAGCATTTCAGAGACTCTAGTTTTTAAATTTTCCTGGGGGGGGGCATGCCCCTGGAGCCCCCTAGAATGTCACCCGACGTCGGCGGCCGCTAAGCGCCCCCCCACACACACTTTTAGAGCTGCTCCAACGCTAGCCTGCGAACAGGCTCTCAAGCTGAATTGAGAGCCTGCATCGATGACTAATGAATTTGAATATCTGCCCCGTAACGTTCGTTTTTCCAAATATGGAATATCTATCCTTATATGGTGTTGTTTACAACTTTCGTGCAAACTAAATTTAGACCGTGCAAACTAAATTTAGACCGTACAGTTTACACTGTTTTTCGAAATATAAGGGGCGGACCATTAGAAATCCCGGGAGGGGGGGGCGTGAAAATTCCCCCCAAAAAATTCGTGCAAAGGAAAATGCCTGGAAAAAAAATTCGTGCAGCCATTACGTCAGAGAAAAAAAATTCGTGCAAGCAAACAGCGAAGTACAAATAGTCTTGAAAAAAAATTCGTGCAGAGGTTAAATGCATTAAAAAAAATTCCTGCAGAGACACAAGACTGAAAAAAAAATTCGTGCCGCAAAAATTTTATACCCCCCCCCTCCCGGGATTTCTAATGGTCCGCCCCTAAGATATTCAAGCAAAAGTTCAAATGTTTTAAATACTGTTTTCTCAAAACAGAACATTTCGTGCTTTGAGAAAGATGGCCAAGACCAATTTGATCAGTTAATGTGTTTTTTATGCATAGTGCTTCAGCAGTTGACATATATAGAGCTCAGCGGAGACATATAAATTATAGCATCTGACCAATGAGAATTTCGCGTCACGATTTGAGACGCAGATATTCAAATTCATTAGTCATCGATGCAGGCTCTCAATTCAGCTTGAGAGCCTGTTCGCAGGCTACTCCAACGCCGACTGTCTTGTATTATTAACAAAATGTCATAAAATATCTCAAATTATTTTGTCTACACTCATAACTGAAATAATAACAATTAACTTTGTGGTTTATTATTGACCATTGTTAAAAATGGGGGCACCAAAGACATTTAGGCCCCTCCAATTTAAAAAGTGTGGGGCCCGGCCCCCTCCCCCCGTTTCCGACGCCCCTAAGCCGATTGCCCTAAGCCGATTGCCTATTGCCAAAACCAAAAACAAACAAGACGCTCTGTTGAGCGTTTAGTCGCTGGGGTATTAAAATAAGGCACGTCTTGATTAGAATAACTTACCATATATCATCAACCTCGTACCCAGGGCTTCTGCGCTCGTTGCTCTCTCTTCATTCTCGTACCCAGAACCGTTCTTACGCGCGGTCAACAGAGTGCGACGAGGGGCTCTGGCCAAATCCAAACCGGAAAAACATGGTATTAGAACAATATCCGGTATTAGAACAATAACCTTCGTTGTGGCCAATCAGATGCCAGTTTGATGTGGATTTGGCCAGAGCCCTTCGTCGCGCTCCGTAAGAAAGGCTCTGGGGAGCAATCTCGAAACCAGAGCCTGCAAGCCTCCACAGAAGATATGAGAGCAATAAGTACAGAAACCCTGGGTACGGTGATTTCATTGGATCTATCTGGCTTAAGCCAACTTCGAGAACATTGGAAACCAGGATTCAGCAATTTTATTCAAATTTATTGCAACTCAACATTTTGACCCTTCAACTTTCTCAAAAAATGTAATACCCCCCCTTATTATTATTATTATTATTATTCTTATTATTTATTATTATAACGAATATTTACACAGGCTGGATATATACATTTCAGCACAAAAGTGCTGTTATCAATGTGAGTCTTGTTACACCTTAAGAATTAATTAAAAACTATTAAACTACTACCTATAGTTAGGAAGTTAGCCTACTACATATTATAACTACTACTTTATCATTTATTTATACTCATGGCCCCACCTTTGCCCCCCCCCCTCCCTCTTCCATAAATAAAGACTTGTCCCAAACTCCAGGAAAAATCTGTGCACTTCACAAAACATTTATAACAATTTATTGCGTTCGCCTCAGGCTGGGTAACCACAACAGAAATTGCCAAAATGTCCTTTCAAGGTAGCTTGCATGTCAGGGAAGAAAATGGCTGCCCCCAAGCCATTTGCAAACAAATTCAATGTCTTTTCCAGAGAAATATGCCAAATCCCCCATGATGGAAAACGTCAAAATCCTCACCCCCAGCTAGGCTAAAAATATCGGCAATAGCTCCGCCCCTTGGATTAGGAAAAGCTGCAAAGGCCCGGGGGTGAGGGGATGGGAACTGCTGGAATTAACTGATACATTAGATTATCAAAGCTAATTTTAAAATATGACAATAACAGACAACTCTTCCGCCAATATCTTAAAAAGAAATATTCCAATAATTTTTCATTAATTAAACAGCCAGGAATTACATACCAAATAATAACAATGGTTAAAGACTGTGTTAATCAACAGCAAAGGCAGCAATTAACATGGTCAAAAGTAGTTAAAGTGCAATTACAAGTATGGAATATCATTACGTAAACAACAATTTGATATTACCTTAAAAAGAAAAGCTACTAATTCTGACCAATGGGAATTTTGTGTGTACTACGAATCATATGCATTTATTGTCTCCGTAGCAGGCTTTATTTTACCCTGTGAGCAAAGTCGTCTCATATTTCTTCTCGGCATGGCACGGAGAAGCGAGAGAGATTCTGCAAAACTTGTGTATATTCTTTGTGGAGCCGACAATCCAAAAACTTGGATAATTATGTATAATTTCAGGTTTGATACTGGTTTAATAACTGGTTTTGATGCCGGAAACAACGAAACCAGAAACTACTTATTAAATCTTCTTCTGGGAAATAGGCAGTTGCTTAGCAACCTTCGCACATGCTCAAATGAATTTCTACCCAAGTTCTGCAGAGTCTCTCTCGCTTCTCCGTGCCGAGAAGAAATAGGAGAGGACTTTGCTCACAGGGCAGCTTTATTTCAAGGATAGAGCCTGACACGCTGGATACTTTCAAAGTTAACCCCCCCCCCCTACTTTATTACTTTACTCTGCGTAACACTAGACAATTTTACTTGAGGACGCCATATTCAATATATTATTCTCACCAGGAAATTCCATTTTGTTTGCACCCCTTGCACTATTGTGTTTCATTATGGCATCTTCAACTTGAAAGAGTCTATTACTCTGGCCCCAACATTTACCCATTAAAAACACAATATGTTGATGAAATAACTGAAATGTTACAGGGTTACACGCCTGACACCTGGTCCTTGTATTTCTGTCTTGTTAGGCTACATCATGTTCTTTTGACCGCTTATCCGTATCAGGATTGCTTGCATCAAGGGCCGTAGCGTAGAAAAAAACATCCAAATAAACGGCAGTTTGCGAATATTATATAAATATTGTGAACTTTTGTCGTCTATTTCAAGCTTGTAGCGATCCAAGTTACTCACATAAAATGACTTTCGCTTTATAAAGTCTGGTTCATCGGAAAACTTTAAAGTTTCATCGGAAAAATAAAAAAATATGTACAAAATCGATGAAATTGTCGATACTAAATAACTAAATTCGCTCCGAAGAAAGCGGCCATCTTGAATCCAGCGACGAATAGTAATGACGTAATTTTTATTATTTATTAATGACGTAACGTTCATTTTGTGGCTAACGATCCAAGATCCGACACAAATCGAAGCCGAAACCTAGAGTCGCTGCGGGCTGTGCCCCAGCGACTAAATATACATGTATTTTAAACACATTGTCATACAAGATGTTCTCACCCATTAAGCACCAATACTCTCCTCTTAACCTGGCATTAGACAGAGTAAAATAACAAAGTGCCCATGAGGATGCAATGCTGCTTAATGGGTTAATAAATATTTGAATGCCGATAGTCCCTCCTCCACAGAGGTTTCATGTCCTTACCTCACTGTGCTTTACATGGACTTTACATAGTGCTAACTGCTCACTTTTGACATTGTTCAACCAGCAGTTAGCACTGTGTAAACTTCTTGCATAGTGTGGTGGAAAAGCACAAAAAGCCCCTGTGGAGGAGAGAGATGTCGGATTGGTATATTAGGATAATAAAAACTGTAGTTGGAAAAGTAATTAAATTAGCAACATGTTAATATTTTAATGAGTTATATTAGTTTAATAACTTTGAGATAGTGTCACGATTATATTAGTGTTGTTTGTACTAAATAAATTAGAAGTGGCTTTTAACATGCCTTATCATGTTTGACTTGGTTGTGAATTTTGCATCACACAAACGACAGGCAAATTCTTTTTTTTTGTGTGCCAGTGTGTACTTTGACATGACGTTTCAGTGAATTTTGTCCAGAAAATGATTTTTGGCATGTTTGGCATTTGTACTTTCCTTCATGAATAGCCATATGTCTTTTTAAAGCCAGTCGGTTCAAGAATTTCTTGCTGCATATGTTACACATGCTCTCTTCACAGTACTTTTCATGGTAACTTGCATCCTTTGCTCTTGGGAAAGACTTGTGACATTTTTTGCATATATATTGTGCAATCCCACAATCTTCATCCTCCTTTACCCTCTGTCCTTCAGTTTTCCAATCCTGAAAAGAGTGAGAAGACATTATGGAACATTCATATATTGGTAGGATATTTAGCTAAATATCTGGATTTTTGTGCATCTAACTCAATCAAACTGAGGTTGAAGGATATTTTCACTCAAAAATTACACTTTAATAATTCCATCCACAAAATCCTTCAACAATCAAGTGAGAAGTTGTACAAAAATCTAGATGCTTAGTACCCATATAATATTATGTTGTCACAGCATCATGCTATTGTTTTCAACAACTGGACTCTGTACTAATCATAGATATCTTATATATGAATGAATGAATATATATTATATAAACTAGATAGTGCATCTAATTATTCTGCAATTCAAAAATTGAAGCCGTGATTGCAGTCTCAGGTCGTTCCCATGAAATGAGAAGATTCGTATGTTTTCTATTTCTTAAACAGGGAACTTAAACATTAAGTTAACCCTATTCCAAATACATTTTTAAACTATTCGAATGACGAAAGTTATTGTTGTTTTTAAGCGTTTATTAGCAAGTGGGAACGACCAACATGGCCGCCATCTATTCAAATGGGGGTAACCGCTGGAATATTCTTGGCTTCAATTTTACTAAACGAGATGCGCTATCTAGTGTATGTAAGATATCTATGGTACTAATGCATTGTAGCTCAGAGTACTGCACTGCAATCGCAGGTTCAGTTCTTACGAGAGGGCCTATAGTGCATATTTTGCTGCTGCCCCTCATTAGGTCATAACGAATATGTTTACACACGGCTATTTAGTTAATGGTTTGCACAAAAATTAAATTTGAACTTGTGCTCAATTAATTCAATAGATTTGAGTGGCCTGTACGGTAGATGGTGTTTGCTGAATATGTGGTTCACTGTCTGAAATTTGCAGTATCCCGATATCCACAGGATACCAAAAATTTGGTTTTGGATACCAAACTATGAATGATACTATCCCGACTGGATACTAAAGCTCTGAAATAGAGTTGAAGGTTTTACATCTTACTGGCCAAGAAACTGGCTACAACAAGCTGTACCGGGTATATCTAATTGAAACAGGAGAATGCCTTACATGGATCTTAAGAGCCCCATTTGCACTCTTGCTGCTTCAACAATGTTAAAATAAAACAAGCAAATAATCCCCCACCTGAATATAAGCCCCCCTCGCCCTCATTGTCTTTATAGCTTGCTATGTTAATCAAAGCATGTTATTAATACATGCTTATTTTCCTGTTTATGACTGACTTGTTTATTACTAACACAAAAGATCATGTATAACCCAGCCCAGAGTTCATAGTCAGAGGTTTATGGTTACCATGCCTATCCATGAGTTATTTTCATTTTTGAGACAATCCGCAAAAGCATACTCGATCAAATGGCTTAATGGCCCACATATTCCCTATATGCCAGACACTTACTTTCCGCACATACTGAGAACAATTCTTCCACATAAATGCAGCAGTTTTGCTCATGACACCCAAATCAGCATCAGGCAAACTCTCTTTGATATTACCCTAGTATAAAAAATAGTTGAAAAGTGTATAATAGACTATTAATACTGTAGTTCCCACTTTTATCAAGTGATTGTAAAAATTGCCCAGTTCTTATATATATACAAATTACAATGTATTAAATAACTGCTTTACTGAGAAGTATTCTTTATGTTCATACTGCAGCATTTGTCAATGTTTGATACACGTGGTGTATAAATTATTTACACTTAATAATTTACATACTTCAATTCATTCATTACTATGGACTCGTAATAATCTATTTGGTAGAAATAAAACTAAAAATATATGATAACAATAATCCATTATAACATTGAAATATGTACTTACAGCAACGTTTCTGTAAAAAGCGTGATATCCGGTAAATTTGCTGGTTTTAAGAGCAGTAGAAGGTTCTCCGTTGCCCGCCATCACGACAATTATACAATATTTTGATTTTTCAAATCACCATTTGCGCGCGCAAGACACACTGGGAAGCGCACCATATAGTATCCGCTGAATGTTTTGTTTAAGGGCGCGGGTCAATGATGCGTCCGACTATCAATGAGGAGTCCGACTGTCTACGAAAAAAAAATTTGCATCAGACACAAGTCAGTACTAGGTAACATTTGCAAACTTACTGATTTAATTGCGTATAAACAGCAGCTGTAGAAATGGTGTATTTTGGTACGAAATTTGTGAAACACTATGGGGGGGGGGGATACCCCCCACTATCTTCCCCTAAGAAAGTTTTGGCACAAAAAGCGTGTGTATGGTACTTTGATTGTTTGAAGCGTTTGGTATAAATGGGAAAGTGGGCATGTATTATATGAACTTTGTGAAGAACGAAGCAGACACATTTGTTACATAGTAACTTATATTTGTTTGATATTCGTTACAATGCGAATTCTTATATGATAAAATGTACGTAATGTTTGATTTTGTTTGAAGCTCTAGATAAATGGGAAATTGAGAATGTAATATATGAATGTACCGTCGGTATACAATCTACCTTCTTATATGATAAAATGTAATTGTTTGATATTGTTTGCTGCCCTAATTGAAAAGTGGTAAAGTGCATGGGATGTAATATATGATTTTTTTGAAGAACGAGGCAGACACATTTGTTGCATAGCTGTAACTCGTAATTGAAGAAGGAAGTTCATTGACTGCAGCATGCTATATTCGGAATTTTCCGATTTCTCAGCAGCCAATAAGCAATAAGGCGATGGATTTTCCGATGATGACGTTTGTCGAGCAATTTGCATCCTGTCTATCTACAGCAAAGTTTCGATAATAAAACACTTTTTATTCAAAATCTAAACTTTTAAATCTAAACTTTTTTCAATTCTAAAAAGTATTAATAAAGCTACAAAATAAATTATATCCACATGCAAGGTGTTTAAAATTAATCAAAGAAACTCTGTGTCATAATTTTAAACTCTTTCCCGACAGGTCCCTATTAAACAAATCACTCAAGATTTATCATTTTTGCGGTTCATATCTTCAGTTTGGTAAATGCTATGTGGACCAAAATACCACCATTCGATTCAGTGTAACGATAGCTACTCATTCCTATCGATAGATTTAGTGAATGGCAACATTATAGCGATTTATGAGCTTTGAAAGTCAAACGAGCTCGTATATGATCAAATTACGCAATATTACTGACAAATTATAAACATAAACATACCTTTCGCCGAATATAACTTCGTCCCATTGAGACGTATGCTCATTCTGATCGTCTTGATGGATTCAGAAGTCAAAAATAACACGTATAGTGTTATTTTCAAGCTTCTATCTTTAAAATTCGACATTTAGTGCCGAATTTTGTATTTCTGCTCCGAATATGCGTTAATCCCAACCGGAAATACGACGAAAAACCGTCAAAACAATGCTACGCTTGCATCGCGTGACTCTGGAAATGCCAGAAATGGATTCTACAGGTCAAAGTGCACCCATACGCGTGAGTTTTACGTCATCCCGGCTAAAGGGAGCTCCTTATTGGTCAAGTATTACGTAATACAATCGCGTGCTAGTAAAACCCGATACTTTAAAAATTCAAAATAAATATTTCTATTCGGCGTATACATACGAAACTTTCTACACAAAAGCGCTTGAATACAAAGAGTATTTTACACATATATCCTTTCAGGAAATGACACCAAAGTTTAGAATATATTCAACTTTTTCTAATTTTCTCGTTTGAATGTTTTGGCGAAGCGGTGAGTATAAATATATGATTGTTTCGGTTTGTGTAATGTTTTGACGGCACTTGACCCCCCGTTCGAAAGGTTATATTGTGAGGATTTCAATGGTGGCATTTATTTAATAGGGGGGTAAATACTCGCCGAGATATTTATATTAGAAAAATTGTATCGAAATGTAATACGAAACCGGTTGTCGAGAAAGAGTTCATTAAGAACTTTTAGAAACAATTACTGGAACTAAATAAATAGTTTACTTACTTACTTATACCATGGATAATAAAATAAATGGATAGGAAACTAGCTGACGTGACCTAATGTTTTCAATGGGCTGATGGCGTGATTGGATGTTGAAACCTAGTTGCAAACCAAATTCTCAAAAACGGCATGTTTAGCAATAATACAGCTAAACATTTTAGTCAAAGAACAAATGAATATAACTACGACATTCTACGATGAAATCTCTAATTACTCCCAGTCAATTTTAGCAAATATTTCAAGCACTAAACAGTGAAAAAGGCATCCCAAATTTCGTTAAAATCGGGGACGCCAATTTCGTAGCTACAAATGACTGTAAAAAATACAAAACACAGACGAAAAACATTTACCTTGAATACTTTGTCGTGGCTTAGACATGTTTTTAAAACAATTAGACCGGTTTATGCTTCAACATTGCTCTTTTAAGGCGGAAAATATAGCGAAACAACAAAAATGCAGAGAACTTTGCAATACGCGTGACGTCACAGATTGCAACTAGGTTGTTTTTGCTTACGTCAGCGAGAGTCCTATCCATTTATTTTATTATCCATGCTTATACTATCTAATTTTTTTTCAAAAAATAGCGTTATTTTTGTTGTTTTAACGTATTAATGTGTGTAAATGTATTGTAACTTATTACTTATTTTTATTTCTCAAGGATATATACAAAAGGTTAATTTAATTAAATTTGCAACTTTTCGGACATTTTAAATGTCCGTCTTCAGGCGACAATTGTTGTCCGAAACGTTGCAAAATGTCCGAATCGTTGCAAATTTAATTAAACAAGACGCCTACACAGGCGTTCACTCCGCCTGCCGGCCTGCGGAGAAAATGGGGACAATGTAGGGTGCGACGGAAAAGTGAAGCCAAATATAAGCATTCACAGACAAGTTGGTGTTCATAGCATTCAAAGATAAGTTGGCATTCATGGCATTCAATTAAGGTTAAGTTGGCATTCATGGCATTCAAAGTTAACTTGGCATTCAAAGGAGCAATGGCATTTACACACTTCTTTGAATTTTCATAAGAAAGTGCCATAACCTATAAGAGACAGAAATAGGATATTAATTCTGACACACCAATTCTGTTTGGCCCATCATTGTAATAATAGAGGCCCATCATTGTAATAATAGAGGCCCATCATTGTAATAATAGAGGCCCGAAAAGCATGTTTGAGTGGCTTGGTAGGTATTCTGCCCAGAGTCCTAGTAGGGTTGAATTGAATACATTACACAACATATAATCTATTAATGCACGAGTCAATTCCAGGAGTAACCATCCCCCCCACGGGAACACACCCGAGCATTTGATTTGATTGGTTATGATAGTGTAAATGCCCGGGTGCCGGGACACAATTAGAAGACTAATGCACGGCCCCTGGGCAAGCTGAGAGTGGAAAATGCCCCACCCCGGGGATGATTTTACAGTCGATTTCACGAAACTTTGACCACAAATGTTCCGAACTTCGTTGCGAAGTTCGCAAGCTCGTTGCGAAGTTCGGAAGCTCTTATCGGAATTCACAAGCCAATTTGTAAACAAAGTCCCTGATTGGTCCGTGAAGTAAAAGAAGCCAATCAAATGCGTAGTTTGCGAACTGGTTTGTGAATCTCATTATGAACTTTTGAACTTCGCAACAATCTTGTGAACTTCGCAACAATCTTGTGAACTTCGCAACGAAGTTCGGAAAATTTGTGGTTTAAACTTTAAATGGCATATAATCATAGTCATTTAATAACATTATAGTATTAAACCGCTATGGAATATTATAAAACATAAACCTTTAATAGTTGTATTTAAATTTGCATGGCACAAGGTATAATTTTCGGCTTATTCTTACAATAAATTTCACGCTACCTTGACCATGAGGGCGCAAAATACGATCAGCGCGCCCACATGCATGCCTGAAACTAGGTTTTGCGGACTAATTAAAATTTGTGGGTGGGATTTTGGTCAACCATTTGTCAAATCCCCGGGGTCCTCCAATACCCGGCCCCCGTGTAAATACATGAAAGGCAAATTCCCGACCCCTGTGAACTGTCTATCGGGCAAATTCCCGGGGGTGTCCCGGGGGGGATGGTTACTCCAGGAATTGACTCATGCATAACACACAAGGGCAGTAGAAAGAGCAAAGCAAGCAAACCCAAGCTGGCTGTGAGTTCAAGAAGCTGACGTTTCTGTTATTTGTTAACATGAGTATACAGGGTGTCCCAAAAAAACCCGAAAACTATTGAAATCACCAATATGAATGCCTTAGCGCTCTGTTGGTTCCCACGAGTGCATAAATAATTGACATAAGTAAATTTTATGCATAAAGAAACTGTTTAAGAAGCTGTTTTTAATTCCCAGGAGCAGAAAATCGCGCACTTTACCAGGAGATATTCCTAACTAAATTCTAATATATGCACCTTGCCAATATTTTACGCATCATTACGTCCAGCTGTTTGGTAGGGCATTCAAATTTAACAATAAGTAATTTCAATAGTTTTCGTTTTTTTGGGACACCCTGTATATCATAGATAATATTCTTGTCTTGCAACCAATCCCTTGAGAATTAAAAGAATGTGCGAAATTCAGTAAAAAATAATGAGATTCTTTGTCTTAATACTACCACATGGCTGCCGTTTCCGGTAGTTGCGTAAAAACGTGTATAGTAAATTATAAACACGACAGCTTCAATACTACATTTCCTAAACTCTTCAAAACATTGAAATATATTTAATAACCCGCCATAGCCTCAACACTACATAGCCTAAACTCTTCAGAACATTGTAGGGACCTTTCACACAAGAATATATTTTGCTAGTCAAGAATATAAGATCGACATTACGACATACAGTAGGAGTGAATATTTTTATTTATATTTATGACTTTAAAGAATTTCTTGTTGCCAAAATGCAGCATGTACTACCAAAATTAGAATGTTTAGTATCACTTACCTCAGTTGAGTCTGGAAGCTTTGTCTTGACA